AATATGGAAAGAAAAGGATTTCTAACCACTAATACTATTTCTAGTCTGGTTGTCCGACAATCAGAAGCTTACAAATTGGGGAAGGATTTTCTTTTCCATTTTTCAACATAGACTAAATCACATACTCCTTAAAGGTGTCCATTTCTTACGTCCCTATTTTTATTCTCATCCATAGCTTTCTGATTCCCTCTTTGTTTTGAACAAAATCAATTATTTTATTTATTTATTTATTTTTAAGATTTTATTTATTTATTTGACAGAGAGATAGAGAGAGAGCACAAGTAGGCAGAGCAGCAGGCAGAGGGAGAGGGAGAAGCAGGCTCCCCACTGAGCAGGGAGCCCAGTGTGGGGCTCGATCCCAGGACCCTGGGATCATGACCTGAGCCGAAGGCAGATGCTTAACGACTGAGCCACCCAGGGGCCTCCCAATTAATTATTTTAAGCTAAGCATATATTTGATTATAACTGATCACTGGTGTTATAATTATGACCAGTTACTGTAAATGTCAGCTCATATGCCGCAGTTATATGAGCCCCTAGCTAACATGATCAAGTGTTTGTGCCTCAAAACTATCTGAATCTTATATGAACCATAAAGTCTCTCTTAGAATTCTAAAATTAGATGGTTCTAGTGAATGAAGTTTGCTTAGATCATAGTTTAATGTTTGAAATACTTGTAGCAAGTTGGTGGAAGTAGTTATGATGAATCTGATATTTTGGACACTTAATCTTTGACATATTTGATAAATTATCAAAGGAATTAAGAGAATAGATTAGACTTTTAATATCCTAATATCTTAAGCAGATTTTCTGCTGTTCTGAGTGGTAGAATAGGTATGAAAGAATTGACAGAAGCATTTACGGAGAAAAACCATGTATTTTGTAAACAGACCCATCAGAGGTACATGCTTATACACACTTTTTTTTTTTTTTTAGTTTTAATTAGGTTAATTAAAGTCAGGGTATAGCCCAGAGTCAGAATCATCACAGACAAGTAGTCATATTAAAGGAACAAGTTATTCACTCCATCAGTATTTACTGAGAGCTAATGGAGTACAAAAATTGGGTCCAGGATCCAGAACACAAATATTCCTCAGTCCTGACTGACATGGAGGCAGGGAAAATAAAAGGCAGCAATATAAGATGTTGAAAGAAGGGTAACATGAGGTCACAAAGTTTAGGTCAGTAGTCCTAGTGGCCCAACTATGATTTGGAAATGAAGCATAAAGTTCTCTAGCTCAGTAGGTCTCAAAATTCATTTGCATCAGAATCACCTAGAGAGTTTGTTAGAATACAGATGGTTGGGCCCCTCCCTCAGAATTCCTGTTTAAGTTTGGGGCAAAGTTTGAGATAATGTATTTCCTAACGAACAATCTTGTAAGATCTGTATCTACATCTATATCATCTATATATCAACATATATATTACATTAGTATAATTCTTTTTAAGGTAAATAAAATAAGGCTCAGAGTGATTAATATGCCAAGCTAACCTAAAGGCTTGTTTTTATTAAAAGAATGAGAAGACATTATTTTCTGTGATATAGGAGAAAAGGTTTTTTAAAAACTTTTTTTTATTCTTTGCTGTGATTGTACAATAATTAAGAACTTTTTGGATATGCAGTGAGACTTACTGAACAGAACTATCTTTTTTTTTTAGTGTATAGTTCTGCAAGTTTTTTTTAATTTAATTTTATTATGTTTTGTTAGTCACCATACAATACATCGTTAGTTTTTGATGTAGTGATCCACGATTCATTGTTTTTGTATAACATCCAGTGCTCCATCCTTAATACCCATCACTGGGCTAATCCATCCCCCCCACCCCCTCTAAAACCCTCAGTTTGTTTCTCGGAGTCCATAGAGCAGAACTATCTTATAGGAAGTTCCTGTGTCTTATCTGAATAACCCATTTGGATCATATGTTGTGGAACAGTGCCTTGGCATTCTTATTAAAAAAACACCTACTTGAGTCAATACAAAAATTGTGGTAGGCTTCCCAACAATAAACTGTTACATGGAACCACAAATAAATATCAAAGACATCTAAGCAAAAGAACCTGCACATAACATAATATATACTCCATGATAAAAGTGACACTGGTGCTTAGCAAGGGCTGGTGATGGGGAATGACTCTGAACTTTCTGAGGTGATAAAAACGTACTATAGCTAAATAGGCATGGAAGTTACATGGGTAAATCCTTTTGCCAGTTAAGTTGTGTATATTTCAATTTATGTGATTTTTTTCTGTAAAAATAAGAAGTGGTGCTATGCGGTGTGAGGAGAGATACAGACCACATAAAAATAGTAGAATGTAGATGTTGACGAAGCAAGGTGAGGCATATGGAAAGTTCATTATGCTATTCTGTTTATGATGTATATATTAAAAACAAACAAATAAAACCACCTACTTGGATTTGTATTATTCTATACCCTTCTTTAGGACTTCATTATTCTTAGATTAATTAATAGGACAGAGCTCCTAAAATTGGAAAAAGAGGTAGTTTTATATTAATTCCTCTAATAATCATTTACCTGACAATATTGTAGAACATTAAGTCAGATGCTGTTATTCACTTTGAATAAATTATTATTTGTAGTTTTTATTTACAATTCACAACCTGCCTTCTCCTCCTCCTTCCCTACCCACAAAATTGAGGAGGGCTGTGTTATTTGTTTTTAAATGTGAATAAAACTGTAAGACACAGAGATCTTAAGATAATTGCAAGAGAAAGGGATAAATGAATCAGAAGCCAGTGGTATAAGTCACTACAGTTAATCAGAGCTTCTTAGCAAATAGGGCAAAAAGAGAAATACAATGTATTCAATCTTTTCCTTTTCTGTGTATTTTATAGAGATTAATATGTGAAAAAGAGATCCTCTCACCACACCACACTACACACACACACGCGTGTGCACACGCCACTGGCATGATACAAATACACTGGCATGATATTTGTAAAGGAAATTTTCATGTGACTCCTCTGTAAGTACTTTAGTAATATAGTAAATAATGTTATTTATTACACTGATATTTTTGTAATTGAGTCTAAGAATTTTGACTTATAATTTTGCTCAAAATGGTTAGTCTTTTCATGGCTGTTAAGGAATGTAGGCAGCACGGATGACTACTCATATTATAAAAGTGTTTTTTTAAGCAGGATTACAAAGGGATGATGGAAATAGAAAATCATGATTTGGCAAATAACCATAGAAATAATTGTAACAAAAAAGAATCATTGATGAATGCTCTTATTTATGAGGAAAAGTAAAATAAAAAAGGATATTTAGGTAGCCTCATTATTATATCTTGTATCTTCCCATAAGATATCCATTAATTACATATGGGAAAAAAGAGTACTTATCCGGTAGAGAAAATTGGCAGCCACCACCATAACCAAGAGATACAACTTAGCCTCATGAGATACAACTTACACCTGTACGTGCAACATGTACCTCTTCATATAATGCATTGAGAAGAGCATACCATCTCTTCTGCAGTATTTCTGCCAAAAATTTATAACCACAACCTAATCATTAGAAAATATTGGATAAGCTTGATTGAGATATTCTACAAAATAGACTTCGAGTATTTTTCAAAGGGTCAAGGTAATAAAAGAGAAACTGAAGGACTGTTTCAGATTGGATAGGATTAGATATTATGGAATTCTACAATTATGAAATGATCTGAGCCAAAAAAAAATGTTAAGAGCAAATTTTGCCAACTGGTCAATTTACCAATTTAGAGTATTCATAAAGTAGCTTTTTGATAGTGTTGTAGCCCATTGATTTGTCACAAAAAAAGTTAGCTGTCAGATGCAGACTCTTGAAAGCAGAGGTGTTATAACCCAGGGAAGTTAGAGCATTTGCAAATGAGAGAGGTGGACTGACATTTTTGGTGATGTAGATGGACACTTCCTAATTTTAATTTCAAAATTCTAATAATGAGACAATAGACTGTAGAAATACATACCAATAAGGTCTCAAGGAAAATTCTTAAATGGATTGTTAAAAGTGTACTTTAGAGGACAAAGCAGTAATCAGTAGACCTAACAAAATTTATAAATTATAACGCATATTTGATTGAATTTACTTTTTTGTTGGAGAGTTATTGATTAATCAGTAAAGTTAATATACATAGAGAGAGGACAAGTGGACTTGAACAAAATAATTAGAAAGTCTTTTGTGACATTTTGTAGAAAACGGAAAAATTTTGGCAGAACACATGAATAATTACGTGATTTTTTTTTTTTGTTAGTTTAATTATTGACATGGTCAATGGGTTACTGTCACCCTGGAAGAAGGTTCACAGAGCTTCTTCCCCAGCCAAGACTATATTAATGGACTACTTGTCAATGATACGTTGGACAGAAATTCAATGATGCAGGGAGCACCCGCCAAATTCAGTTGTCTTCTCTCTGCCACATGGCCCCCCAATAACATGAACAACTTACTGAGAAAGAGAAGGATGTTTGATGCAAAGATGGCCATTTTCTATGCTGCCAGTGAGTAAGATCCCTTCCCGTAGGGACTCAGACAAGTTGATCCTATTAATGCCATTCTTCTCCAGCATCATTTCCCACTACTTAAGTCACCTAACCAGACCATGTGTACCCTTAGACTCTGTACTTAAAGTAATTACAGACACTCTAAGGCAGCAGGTATTTCATCCTTCTAGGTATTTGTATATGTTTTCCACCTATATGAAGTGCTTGTTCCGCCTGGTATTAATTTATCTTTCAGTCAATCAATAATAACATATAAAATATGTTTTTCTTTGCTAACAATACTGCAATGTATCCAGACAAAAATCTATTACAGACTTTTAAAAAGTTTTATTCCAACAAAGGGATAGTCTATAACTTGGGCAGATGAAAATCATTTTTTGAATATGGAGTGGTAAGAATTCTTCAACTTTATCCCTTGATTAATTTAGCATGTACTTACAAATTACAACCTGTAACGCTTAAAAGAATAATAAAGATTAACAGCACACTTACCCACACTTGGATAACCAGGCGTTGAAGGGTCTCCTCCTGGGTTCAGTGACACCATGAAGGTATCATGGCTAAGATTTGCAGTCTTTGGTAAATCACAAGGATCAATATATAGAAGAACACCACCAAATCCAGCCTTTTCCAATAAGGAAAGCTAAAAGAGGAAAAGAGAAAACTATTAAAAATATGATCATATGTATTGGAAAGTACTGCCATTTTATAACTGTCAGCAAAATAAGATGACTCCCCCCTCACCCCAAAAAATAAATAAATAAAATAAAATAAGATGACTGTCTTTTCTGGGTTTTTTCTTTTAAAATGAGCAGGCACTTCAGACTTCCCAATTATCAAGCCTAGTCAGTTAATCCACTGGCTTCTTCCTTTTTTCCCCTGTCTCAATGTTATTGTAGCAGCATTCCTATAATGTCTCTTTGATTTCAGTTGTCTGCACATGGAATTTCTCCCTCTCTCACTCTTAATTATCTAAGTAGATCCAGAGTCTCACTTTCATGAGATTAACAAAGGATCTACTGAAGACAAAATTCTGCTGTAGAAGAATTTTTCTGGCCACTATCATGTCCTTCCCTTAAAGCAGAAGTCACCTGCAGCATTTTGAGATTATTTCCTAGAGGGCTAAGCCTGTCATACTAGTTGCTAATATGTTGAAATACTTTTACACCGTTTGGCAAATAGCCACTGTCCTGAACCCTGTTGAGGGCCTCCGTAGTCACTGAGCTATGCCCTGGATATTCCAGTCATACCGTGCAGATACAGCAGCTGAGGGATGGAAAGAACCAAGGGGCCTCCTTCTGAATGGTCAGTTCCTGCTCTCTGTCATTAAAGATTTTGAAAATAGTTCCTGATTACTTCATTTGAGACGTATCTAATGCGGATTCCTCTTTGTTCTTCAGGATGTGCAAACTATATAAGTATGGTGGGGCAGATGAACTTGACATTTCATTTTGTTTCTGTTTGAGTTTGGTAAGTTAATTTTTTGGGTAAAGAGCTTAGTGTGACTTACCTAATGTGAGAAACAATAATTATAATTTGGTAATCCATGTGTTTCCCATGAGAGAGGAAAAGCACGTAGGGGGACACTGGGGAGGGAAATAATGGAGACTAAGACTAGGAATCATATGAAATGTAGGCAGTTGCTGTTCATTGTGTGACTCTAGTTAACACCTATACTTCACTTCCCAGGAACTGCTTATCTTATTTATTAAGTTTTACAGTGGACTAAGCAAGGTGGCAGTTGTGGGCCTAACTGGGCCCCTCCATGAGGACAGCATCATGCTTATCTTCTGTACCAATGTACATATGCACTTAGCAGGCCAGAGTAGTCATTCACCAGTATTGCTAAATGAAGGGACAAACGAGAAAGATGCTGGCTTGCCACAGCAACGACTTTAAAAAAAAAGAGAGACTTCTGAGGAAATACTTAGGATGCACTTCTTTTTTCGTTGTTTTAAAGATTTATTTATTTATTTATTTAATTTATTTATTTTAGAGTGCATGTGGTGGGGAGGAGCAGAGAGAGAAGGAGAGCATCTCCAGCCGACTCCCCACTGAGCGCAAAGCTGGATCCAGGCTCGATCCCAAGACCCTGAGATCATGACCTGAGCTGAAATCAACAGCCAGATGCTCAACCCACTGAGCCACCCAGGTGCCCTAGAATGCACTTCTATTGGAAAAATAAAACATATGATTGGATATATAATACGGTTTTTACATAAAAGAAGTTATATGCAGAAAAATAAAAAAAAATAATTGATTTAAGTACATTACATTAATGGCATTTTTTCAACTCCTTTAAAAATATTCTGTGTAAAAAAAATAAAAATATTCTGTGTTTTCCAATTTTTGAGTAATGAACAAGTAGGTATTATTTAATTAATATATGAAATAAGATCTATTTAATTATTAATCAGAAAAAATAACCCTTAGAACCTAAGCAAAGAACAATTGACTCATATGTTGAGTTATGATTTTCTCATCCGAGGGAGAAGAATTTAGGGAGAGGGGAAAAATGAGAAAAGGAAAAAAGAGCAAAGAATATGTTAATAAGAGGGCCGGATTTAAGACTGACCTTCCAAAAGCTCACACTGAAGTCCCTAGGGAGGGCTTCTAATATTTAGATGCTGAAATTTCTACTTTTAAAGAGAATGATCAATGGAATGATTTTGAATGTTCTGCTTACTATAGAAGAATAAATCAAGAAAAATATGAACAATTCCAGAAAGCAACTTTTAAATATAAAAAATTGCTTTTTAAAAATTTATTAAAGTGACTTGTGATCAATAGAGAAAAAAAGATACAGACAAAATAATAATGATAATTAATGATAACAACAGTCCTATTATCCTGTTATTCTATCAAGAAATATTCTCTCTCTTATTATCCTATCTTATTATTCTATCAAGAAATAGCAGATGTTAATATGTTGGAGTTTCTAAACCCTTCTATTAGAGCTTAGATACATATACACATATACTAACAAGATAAGACCACACACCATAAATTTTGCAATCTATTTTTTTCACTTAGAAGCACATACTAAATATTTGTCCATGCTGATAAGTACACTTTTATACAATATTAATAGCTGTATACTCTACATATGTGAATGCTATAAATAATAAAATATAGAAAGGCTGAAATCATGCCATTTGCAACGATGTGGATGGAGCTAGAGTGTATTATGCGAAATAATTAGAGAAAGACAAATACCATACGATTTCACTCATATGCAGAATTTAGAAACAAAACAGATGGACATATGAGGAAGAAAAAAGCAGAGAAAGAGGAAGCAAACCATGAGAGACTCAACTATAGAGAACAAACTGAGGGTTGGGGGTTGGGCAATGGGCTAGATGGGTGATGGAGATTAAGGAGGGCACTTACTGTGATGAGCACTGGGTGTTGTATGTAAGTGATGAATCACAAAATTCTACTCCTGAAACCAACATTACACTACATGTTAACTAGAATTTAAATAAAAAGTTGAAACAAAAAAATATATAGAAAGGCTATCAAATATTATCTGACCAGTCCTTGACTGTTGGTTTTCCAAATTTTGAATTTTTTATATCATACTTCAACAAACTTCCTTATAGCTAAACCATTGCACAAATATATTTCTTCATGAACTATTATTTCCACAGGTAAAATTTCTAGGTGAAAGTATTGTTATTTTTATGATTTTTGATAAACTATTTTCCCTCCAGAAAAGCTATAACAAGTTACATTTCTACCAGTCATATATCTGAGTACTTGTTTCCTCTATCACCAGCATTAAATATTACTTTTTAAGAAATATTTGCCAATCTAGCCAAAAATTACTTGTCCAATTTTTAAATTTACAAGTGAAGTTAAATTTATTTTTGTTTGTAACTTTGGCCACTTGCATACTTTTTTTGAGAATTACCTGCTAGTGAAAATTTTTATGATTCCTGGGGTACTTAATCATTCACAACTATATGTTGTCACTTTTGTGCAGGTAATATGCTGGCATTGGCATATGGAGATAAGTAGGGCAAAGTCCCTGCTCTGCTCTCAGGAAGTTCAGTTAACCAGTGGAATGATGAATAGTTTTCATCTCAAGTGTTAACCCCAATTAACTGGCAATGAGTGGCTGCCTGGGGGAAGCATTTTGAGGCCAAGTTCAGGGTCAGTGAAAAGAGGACAATGGCTCTATGAGAGATGTCAGCCATGGACACATGAAAGGAAAGTGGTGATTCATTTTTTGTTGTTGTTGACCCTGTGTTAGTAGGATAGTCACATTATCTTTAAAAATCTCTTTTAAAAAGCCAGTACATTAACTATTGGACTATTGAAAGTTTACGATGCCAAGTCACTTAGAATTTATCATCAAAAATAAAATGCTACAATTGCTTATTTTGTTTCTTCTGATTATGTTTGGTAATACACTGTGAATCCTTTTATAATCAATTTATAACATGATATTTTTCTATACATGACAGCTTACAATGAGGCAATGCAGTTTAATAGTATGGTGTCTTTTGCCAGAGTTAATTCCCTACAACCATGAAGAGATAACCCTCTATGTGATTTTATTCCCCTCTTCTCATCCCCTGCGTGCAATGGTTGGACCTGAGGTTTACACCTCTCCAGTGTTGTCAAATCTGGTTCACGATGCTATCCCTTGTTGGCTGCCCTAGAGCTCTTAAATAAGTAGCTTAATTTGGTGACCCAATTTTAGAAATTATCTATTGCTGGATTTCCCCTGAATTTGGCAATTGAGGAAACTGCCTATATTAAATCAGATTTAAAAAAAAAAAATGTTCCTCTGCGTTGTTAGCATTGCATTTTGAAGATGGTGAGGTAGTGGTTGTGTAAAATTTCCAAAGGATGTACTATTCTGGTGAGATCATATTCTTTAAAAATGCATTCAAAGGCAAGTCAATATAAGAAGGATGAAGCCAGCTGTCATTAGGCTGTCTGCTTTTGACTGTCCCTTGAAGCACAGGTAAAAGTTGTCAGCCCCGCCCAGCACCTTTCATACCTTCAGATCACTTGGGCCTAGGGTGATGATTATACTAGGGGTCTAATTCATGAAAAGAGAGGGCAAACGTCAGGCTCAGATTTCCTAATACTGAACTTTGATTATCCTTTGCTTCTCTCTCTCTCAAGTATATATGTGATAAGTTTGGGGTTCTTTGTCATGCTTTCTACTTCGTAAACTAAGACAGTGTAAACTAAGACACATAATAGAGCCAGTTAGAAATTGGAATGGAGACATAAAAAAGGAGTCAAGCAAACGGTATTGAGCTCAACTGTTATAAGGTCATGTACAGCAAGCCACGGCCACGGGCCAGTATACTGTATGACGCGTTAGGCTGTATCATCCCGCAAGGGCACCATTTCCTGATTTACACCAAGTGCCATAGGGGTATGTTTCTATGAAAACAGAAATCGTGAAACAGCAGGGTCCTACTCACACAGCTTCCACCCTTTTATTTCGCTCAAAGATTACTAAGTGCTGAGCCAACATGAACCGTGCTTCAGTATTCATGGGTACTAAGATCTCAAGACACCTGAGACGCCTGAGATAGGTGCTGGGCTAGAAACAGAAATGGTCAACAGTCATCCTGGGACACTTTTCCATTTCCTTACACAGAGTCACTCAATTCCCTT